AAAAAAAATTTAAAGAAGGATTTCAAAATTAAAAAACAAAATTACAATGGTAAAAAAAAATAAAAAAAAAAAACCCAAACCTTTAGGGGAGGAAATGAAGGTTTAAAAATTTGATAAAAAGTAAATTTACAAGGGAAAAAAAAACCCAAAAAATTTCAAAAAAAAAAAAAAAAAACAGTTTTTGGGGGAAGGAAAAGGAAGGAGTTAAAAAATTTTTAAAAAATTTAAATTTTGAAAAGGGTAAAAAAAAAACAAAAAAAAAAAAAACCCAATCAATGGGGAGGTAATGAAGGTTTTAAAAAATGAAAAAAATTAATTACAAGGGTTTAAAAAAACAAAAAAAAAAAACCCAAACAAAAAAAAAAAAAAAAAGTTGTTGGGGGGTAATGAAGGATTTCAAAATTCAAAAAAAGTAATTACAAAAAAAAAAAAAAAACAACAACCAAAAAAAGGACAAAAAATTTTGAGGGGGGGGGAAAATTGAAGGTTTTAAAAATTAAAAAAAAATTTAAATTTTACAAGGGTTTAAAAAAAAAAACAAAGAAAACAAAAAAAAAACAAAAAAAAATTTTTAGGGGAAAGGTACTTAAAAAATTTTCAAGGTGAAAAAAAAAAAAAGTTTTTAAAAAATAATTTGGAAAAAAAACCAAAAAAAAAAAACAAAAAAAAAAACAAAAAAAAAAAAAAACATTTGAGGGGGGGGGGGGGGGGGGAAATGGGGATTTAAAATTTAATAAAAATGAATTACAATAGTAAAAAAAAAAACAACAAAAAAAACCCCCCAAAAAATTGAGGGGGAGGAAAAGCAGGTTTAAAAAATAAATAAAAAAGGAATTCCAACAATAAAACCCAAAAAAAAACCAAAAAAAAAAAAAAAATCAATGGGGAGGTAATGAGGGTTTTAAAAAAATTAAAAAAAATTTGAAACCTAAAATTTTGGAAAATTTTGGGTTTTTTTTTCTTTTCCCCCGGGGGCAGTTAGCAGGGAGTTGAAGCTTTAATTTTAGGTGGGGGGAGAGAAGTTTGTCTTTAATAAGACAATTTTAACCCCATCTTTTCCATATTGTTCTCCCCCCCAAAAAAGGACATTTTCCGCATGCCCAGAGACCAAGGGGGGGGTCAGGGTTTTTCCCCGGACTTTAATAACTAGGGCCGAAAACCCCTCCAACTCCTCCCCGAGGCGAATTTTCGAATCGACTCCCGAAAAACGCGTTTATCCCAGTTTCGTGTGATTCCCCAACCCTACCCCCACATTCCCCCAAGGACCCCCAGATCTATCCCAACCCTACCCCCGATTACCCAAACCCCCTACCCAAAAAAAATCCCCCAACCTACCCCAGTTATCCAACCCCACCCTAGATTTCCCCCCCCCACACAAACCTATCCCTACACCCCTACCCCCCACTATCCCTACCCTAAGAACTTACTCCCAACCCCATCGCTACCCCTAATCTATCCTACAAACCCCACTCCCCCTAGCATCTACCCCCAACTACCAATTCCTAAAAACCAATTTTTTTCTTTTTAAAACCCCAACCCTAATCCCCTGACCCAAGATCTTACTCCCAACCCCTCGCTACCACCTAAATCTATCCCAACCCTAACCCCTAGATCTATGCCCAACCCATCGCTACCCTAAATCTATCCCCAACCCTATCCCTAGATCTAAACCCCCAACCCTATCCCTACCATAGATCTACTCCCAACCCCAACCTAGCTCTCCTAACCCCAACCCTACCCCTAGATCTACCCCCAACCCTATCCCTACTCATAGATCTACTCCCAACCCCTACCCTAGATCTACCACCAACCCCTAGATCTATCCCCAACCATACCCCTAGATCTACCGCCAACCCCACACCTACCCCTAGATCTACCGCCAACCCAACCCTTAGATCTATCCCCAACCATACTCTAGATCTACCCCTAATCTCTCTACCCTAGATCTCCCCCAAACCTACCCTACCCCTAGATCTACTCCCAACACCCTATCCATACCCCTAGATCTACTCCCAACCTTCCTTATCCCTACCCATAGATCTACTCCCAACCCAACCCCTAGATCTATCCACAACCCAGCCCAACCCCTAGATCTAACCCCCAACCCTACCATACCCCTAGATCTATCCCCAGCCCTATCCCTACCCCTAGATCTATATCCCCTTTGGTAATTTTTCCCCAACCCAACCCTACCCCTAGATCTACTCCCAACCCATATCCCTACCCCTAGATCTACTCCCAACCATATTCCTACCCCTAGATCTACTCCCAACCATATTCCCTACGCTAGATCTGATCCCCACCCTACCCCTAGATCTATCCCAACCATATTCCTACCCCTAGATCTATCCCCAACCCAACCATACCCCTAGCTCTATCCCCAGCCCTATTCCTACCCCTAGATCTATCCCCAACCCTACCCCTAGATCTACTCCCAACCATATCCTACCCTAGATCTATCCCCAACCCCTACCCCTAGATCTATCCCAACCATATTCCTACCACTATCCCAACCTAGATCTATCCCCAACCCTACCCCTTGATTTATCCCCAACCCTATCCTATCCCCCCTAGATCTATTCCCAACCATACCCTACTCCACCCCTACCCATAACCCCACCCCTCAGATGCATAACCCTACCTCTTTGTTTTTATAAACAAAGCCCTAGTCCCCATGGCAGTGCTGACATGGTGATCACATATTAATAAACAAAGCTATGTGATTTCAGATAATGCTAAATCTGTACTTGATGTAGGAAATGAATTCCCTCGCTCCTCCTTATTACGATGATGACAGATTTCTTCTTTCTAAAGGACCGTCGACAAACATCCACAGTGGGAACAGTTAAAGAAAAGGCGGAGGAAGCCAAGAGAACGTATCAGAAAGCCGTGTCCCGGGGCAGAGCGCTGGGTTGGTCCAGTAGGTCTTATCAATAACTCATTGTATGTATTGGAATGTTATCTCTATAATGATATTGTGTTTCTTCCGTTCCTCGTCATTTGTCTTCCTCTCTCTACTCCTCCCTCTCCTCCTCCTTCCTTTCTTCTTACTTCCTTTCTTCTTCTCTTCTTCTCTTCCTCTTTCCTTCTTCCTTCTTCTTCTTCTTCTTCTTCTTCCTCTTCTCTCCTCTCCTCTCCTCCCTTCAACTCTTTCTTCTCCTTCCTCTTCTTCTCTTCTCTCTCTCTCCCTCCTCTCTCCTCCTCTTCTCCTCCTCCTCCCTCTTCCTCTTCCTCTCCTTCTTCTTTCTTCTTCCTCTTCTCTCCTCCCCTCCCCTTCATCTTCTTCTTCTCCTTCCTCTTCTTCTCTTCCTCCTCTCCTCCTCTCCCTCTTTCCTTCTCCTCCTCCTCCCTCTTCCTCTTCTCCTCCTCCTTCCTCTTCCTCTTCTCTTTCTTCTCACCTCCTTCAGTTTCACTCCCAGCCTCCCCTTCAGTCTTGCACAGGTGTACCGGCTCCTCCCCTTCAGTCTTGCACAGGGTGTACCGGCTCCTCCCTTTCAGTCTTGCACAGGTGTACTGGCTCCTCCCCTTCAGTCTAGCACAGGTGTACCGGCTCCTCCCCTTCAGTCTTGCACAGGTGTACCGGCTCCTCCCCTTCAGTCTTGCACTGGTGTACCGGCTCCTCCCCTTTAGTCTTGCACAGGTGTACGGGCTCCTCTCTTTCAGTCTTGCACAGGTGTACCGGCTCCTTCCCTTCAGTCTTGCACAGGTTACCGACTCCTCCCCTTCAGTCTTGCACAGGTGTACCGGCTCCTCCCCTCAGTCTTGCACAAGTTTACTGGCTCCTCCTCTTCAGTCTTGCACAGGTGTACCGGCTCCTCCCCTTCATTTTTGCACAGGTGTACTGGCTCCTCCCCTTCATCTTGCACAGTTGCACTGGCTCCTCCCCTTCAGTCTTGAACAGGTGTTCCAACTCCTCCCCTTCTGTTTTGACAGTGTACTGGCTCCTCCCCTTCAGTCTTGCACAGTGCACTGGCTCCTCCCCCAGTCTTGAACAGTTCCAACTCTTGTCTTGGACAGTTGTACCGGCTCCTCCCCTTCAGTCTTGCACAGGTGTACTGGCTCCTCCCCTTCAGTCTTGCACAGGTGTACCGGCTCCTCCCCTCCAGTCTTGCACAGGTGTACCGGCTCCTCCCCTTCAGTCTTGCACAGGTGTACCGGCTCCTCCCCTCCAGTCTTGCACAGGTGTACCGGCTCCTCTCCTTGACGGAAATGGCTTCACTGCACACAGCTTCTTACAATGTGCATTAGAAGCTGCAGCCAGTCAGATAGAGCTCTGCCTCATTTCCTGGCTGGAGGACATCCAGCATCATCTAGCGCTTTACCCCCCAGCCTGACTTCCCCCCTTTCCTTCTTTGGATTTCAGTTCTTTCAATCATGGAGGCTCAGCATCACATGTGGGCGTTACCTATGCAGATACAGCCTGCCTAGGAACGCCCACTCCTCCAGACTGACACCCACCCATCAAGAGATTTTGATATTTGCATAACTCCTCCCACTGCTTGCATCAGGACTGGGGGCTCTGGAGAGGAGTACAGAGGCGGGGGGCTGGGATGTTTTCAGGGAAAATATAAGCAGGTTGAACTTCATCTTCCACATTTTCCCATCAACAGATGATATTTTGTATATTACACCCTCTCTACACAGATCTACGGGAAGGAAAATGGAACATTTTACAATCTCGGTGAATGTCGGCGCTCTGGCCAAAGCGACGTTTAGACTGACTTACGAAGAATTACTAAAACGCCAACTTGGGAATTATGAGTTGAACCTGAGAGTGAAGCCCAAAGGATTGGTGGAGAACTTCCAGGTGAGGAGAAGAAACGTTCACAACGTCCGTAAACTCTCTCCGTTCAGTTTGTATCGCCTTCCAATACCCTCCAACCGTCCCAGATTCCTGATCTCGGAGATGGAAGAATTCGACATTTATAACGTTCTGTCTTCATTTTCAGATAAATGTGGACATCATCGAGCCGCAGGGGATCAGCTTTCTGAAGGCCGTCGGGGCTTTCATCTCCAACGAATTGACAGATATTGTTAAAATAAACCGCACAGAAACAAAGGTATTGCGTTCCCCTCCTGCGATGTTTGGTAGAAGGTAACATGATGGCCAGAAAACAGAAGCCCTGTTCTCATTTAGAAAGAGATATGTGTCTGGGCTTGAACCTGGTAGTACTTATAGCCCCCGGGATTTGTGTTACCCCTCTTGGCCATTTATGACTGCTTGAAAGTTGAGGAGAAAGGCGGACTTAAAGAGTAACTCCACTGTTGTTGGGAAAGAAAGCTTTCCCCTCTGGTGATCTACACTATATTGCCAAAAGTATTGGGCCCCTGCCTTTCCACACACATGACCTTTAATGGTCCCCCCAGTCTTAGTCCGTAGGGTTCAATATTGGGCCGCCGGCCTTTCCAAGCACATGACCTTTAATGGCCCCCAGTCTTAGTCCTTAGGGTTCAGTATTGAGTTGGCCCCACCCTTTCCACATACATGCCTTTAATGGCCTCCCAGTCTTAGTCCTTAGGGTTCAATATTGAGTTGGCCCCGCCCTTTCCACACACATGACCTTTAATGGCCCCCCAGTCTTAGTCCGTAGATTTCAATATTGAGTTGGCCCCGCCCTTTCCACACACATGACCTTTAATGGCCCCCCAGTCTTAGTCCGTAGGGTTCAATATTGAGTTGGCCCCGCCCTTTCCACACACATGACCTTTAATGGCCCCCCAGTCTTAGTCTGTAGGGTTCAGTATTGAGTTGGTCCCACCCTTTGCAGCTATAACAGCTTCAACTCTTCTGGGAAGGCCGTCCACAAGGTTTAGGAGGGTGTCTATGGGAAGGTTGGACCATTCTTCCAGAAGCACATTTGTCAGGTCAGGCACTGATGTCGGGGGAGGAGGCCTGGCTCGCAGTCTCCGCTCTAATTCATCCCAAAGGTGTTCTATGGGGTTGAGGTCAGGACTCTGTGCAGGACAGTCAAGTTCCTCCACCCCAAACTGGCTCCTCCATGTCTTTATGGACCTTGCTTTGTGCACTGGTGGGCAGTCATGTTGGAACAGGAAGGGGCCATCCCAAAACTCTTCCCACAAAGTTGGGAGCATGAAATTGTCTAAAATATTGCCTTAAGTGTTCCCTTCACTGGAACTAGGGGGCCAAGCCCAACCTCTGAAAAACAACCCCACACCATAATCCCCCATCCACCAAACTTTACACTTAGCACAATGCAGTCAGGCAAGTACCGTTCTTCTGGCAACCGCTAAAAATCCAGACACATCCATCAGATTGCCAGACAGAGAAGCGTGATTGGTCACCCCAGAGCACATGTCTCCACTGCTCTAGAGTCCAGTGGCGGCGTGCTTTACACCACGGCATCCAACATTTGCATTGCACTTGGTGATGGAAGGCTTGGATGCAGCTGCTCGGCCATGGAAACCCATTCCATGAAGCTCTCTACGCACTGTTGTTGGGCTCATCTGAAGGCCACACCAAGTTTGGAGGTCTTTAGCTATTGACTCTGCAGACAGTTGGTGACTTCTGCGCACTGTGCGCTTCAGCATGCGCTGACCCCCGCCCTGTCATGTGACGTGGCCTACTACTTGGTGGCTGAGTGGCTGTTGTTCCCAGTGGCTTCCACTTTCTTATAATCCAACTAACAGTTGAGCGTGGAATATTTAGTGGTCAGGAAATGGAAATACAGAGCACAGGGTGGGTGTCACCAGTAGAGAAGGGGTCACATATACTGTACGTAATACATATTGTATATATGACGTACAATCTCATATTTCATTCTCAGGCCCATATAGAATTTAAGCCAACGGTGAGCCAGCAGAGAACTTGTCCAAACTGCATCGAAACTCTTCTGGACGGAGATCTGATGATCAAATACGATGTGAAGAGGGAAAGTTCTGCAGGGAAGTTGCAGGTAATTCTTACTTTATGGATCATACTCTCAGCTCTGCGACGCTCATGGTGGGCGGGGCCTTCCAAGGAAGTATTTCGAGGAACGGAGTGCGTTGCATCCTGGTAAACTCTCTGCAGTGCACACCTACCACAATCAGGAGTGCTTAAGTAGCCTGCTGGACATCCAGCCTGTACTGGATCATAGTTTGTCTCTGATAGAGGTCTGTTTGACTTTTGTCTGTTCATACCCTGAAGTATTCCTGTCAATGATTTGGACGGTTTGTGCTTTATCCCAGTCACGGTCGGTTATGTCTGATTTTAGCAGTCATTACTCTGTGTAACGGTCTAGAATCTAGGTGGCCTGTACCTGATATTATCATTAGCCTGCTGCTTACTTTGTACTTACTCTGCTCTAGTGTTTGTCCTGCTTGTTAGTCCGCTGTCCCTCCCGTGACACAGTGGTCCCACCGAAGTCTCTGACCGGTATGTTTTTATTCTCTAACGTTCCATTCCCTTCTGGTTTTGTCATCCGCAGGTCATCAATGGGTATTTTGTACATTATTTTGCTCCTCCCAGCCTCCAGCGGATCCCCAAGAACGTGGTGTTTGTAATTGACCGCAGTGGATCCATGGCCGGTAATAAGATTAAACAGGTAAACTTACAATCAGGGTGAGAAATTCGGATTAATATATTTTTCATATTGAGAAAATGTATAAAAAGGTGTTTAGTATGCTCCATAACTGTATCCTCCCCTTTGGTGAGAAATGACATCTTCACTGACTCTGGGTCATAACTGAATTCAGAATGTACATCTGAAAGCCACCAAGTTCACTCTGTTTCCCTTTAGGACCCCTTCACTTGTATGTGTGCGTTAATGTATGGGTTTCTGTGCATAGAGTCTCCCCAAAATGCTTACCAGACCCTTTGAGTATGGGTTTTAAGGGGGTATCTCACACAAAGAAATGAGGTCCCCCCCCAACATTTTAAGTGGGACTCTAGGCAATTAAAAAAATGCATGAGGTCCCCCTAAAAATCTCTACAAGACCCCTTTTTCTAGGCGTTCAGCCTGGCTGGCCAGGAAATAAGGGGGCGGGCATACCCCCTCCCCAGGAAACCATACCAGGCCCCATGCCTTCAACATAGGGGATGCCACCTGGAAAAGCACCCTGTCCCAGTGTTAATGAGAACCAGGGCATCTTAACCACAACCATTGCCTGGTGGTTATGGAGGTTTGTGGGTGGGGGGCTTATTGGAATCTGGAAGCCACACTCTTTAATAATAAGATGGCTCCCAGATACTGGCCTCCCCCCCCCCATGCCTGTCCACATGCCCTGAATATGGTGGGAATGCCCCTGGAAAAGCACCTTGTTGCCATGTTGATGAGGACAAGGGCCTCTTCCCCACAACCCTTTCCTGGTGGTTGTGGGGTTTTGTGGGTGGGGGACTTATTGGAACCTGGAAGCCCCCTTTAATAATAAGATGGCTCCCAGATACTGCCCCCCCATACCAGTCCACATGCCCTCGATATGTTGGGAATGCCCCCTGGAACAGCACCTTGTCGCCATGTTGATGAAGACAAGGGCCTCTTTACCACAAGTGGTTGTAGGTGGGGCAACAAGAAGCATGGTTGAGGAATATGCCAAGGTCAGTAACAAGTGGTCGTAGGTCAGGGTCAACTAGAACCGTGGTCGAGGAACATGCCAAGGTCAGTAACAAGTGGTTGTAGGTTGGGGTCAATTAGAAGCGTGGTCGAGGAACATGCCAAGGTCAGAAACAAGTGGTTGTAGGTTGGGGTCAATTAGAAGCGTGGTCAAGGAACATGTCCAAGGTGCCAGGAAACAAGTGGTTGTAGGTTGGGGTCAATTAGAAGCATGGTCGAGGAACATGCCAAGGTCAGAAACAAGTGGTTGTAGGTTGGGGTCAATTAGAAGCATGGTCAAGGAACATGCCAAGGTCAGAAACAAACAAGTGGTTGTAGTGGTTGTAGGTTGGGGTCAACTAGAAGCGTGGTCGAGGAACATGCCAAGGTCAGTAACAAGGGGTTGTAGGTCAGGGTCAACTAGGTCAGTAACAAGAAGCGTGGTCGAGGAACAAGCCAAGGTCAGTAGCAAATGGCTGCAGGTTTGGTTCAAGCGAAAGCATTGTCAAAGAACAAGCTAAGGTTGGTAATAAGTAGTAGTGAAGGTACAGACGGCAGCAGGAGAGACCAGAGTGAGACATTGGCTTGAGAAGAGCACTATAATTTGGCAAACAGGGACAATGACATGGCTTAAATCGGAAGTTCATGGAAGGAGCGAGGAGTTCAAAGGTCACCAGAAACAAGAGACAAGGCAAGATTGTCCAAGGGATCAGTATGGCTGCTGTCCAACGTTCTAGGTGGCTCAGCAAGAACAAATACTGCTGGATGTAGCAGAAGTTGTGGGTTCATATCCTGGTCCTGAGGGAGTATTTACTATCTTCTTTACAAGGGAAACTTTTTTTACTTTTATTTTATCAGCAGAGTGGCTTCAACAATGTGTTTCCTGAAGCATTTAAGATGGTTACCTCCAGTATGTACGTCTGTATGTGTAATGCCTCATATCTAATGCTTGTCACGCAGACATACGAAGCCTTCCTTAAGATTCTCGAGGATGTGCCCAAAGAAGATTACTTTGCTATTTTAAAATTTGACGATAAGGTTGAGAAGTGGAAGAAGCAGCTGGTTCAGGCCGTACCTGGGAATATTAACAAGGCAAAGGAGTTTGTATCACAAATCACAGCAAGAGGAGGTAACACGCCATCACAAGGGTGCAACTTAAACTCAAAACTGAGACATCAAAGAGTCCCTTTCATTAACATGAAATTTTTAGAAGATGACGCTTAAAGTAATAGGTTAGCCAGGCTATGGACAAGCTGTAAATGAGCTTTAAAAAAAAAAGCCCTTACTGACCGCTGTAGCTGCTGGCACTGTGGAACAATTAATCTGCAAAATTTATAGAAGAAGCCCTGAAGTCCTTGTCTAGTCCAGCTCAGCTCAGCTCCCTGTGCCATCAGTTAATCAGCAGCTCAGCTCACTGTGACCCCCCTCCTAGCAGTGACTTTCCCCATTCCCCTTGCAGCAGTTAGTCAGCAGCTCAGCTCACCCTGCTCCTTTGCTCAGCAGTGACTTGGCAGCTCAGCTCACCCCTCCTAGTAGTGATTCAGCTGTTCATGCCCTCCCCTTTCGGTAGAGACTTGCCAGCTCAATTCCCCTCCCAGATGTGACTCAGCAGCTCAGCATCCTCTGCTCCTCCATCCCAGCAGTAAAACAGCAGCTCAGCTCCCCTGGTTTTCCCTCCCAGCAGTTACCCAGCAAGCAGTCCAGCTCCCCCTGCCCACCCCCAGCAGTGACTCAGCGGCTCACCTTCCCCTGTGCCCCCCCTCCCAGTAGTGATGCAGCAGCTCAGCTCTCCCTGTGCCCCCCTCCCAGCAGTGATCTCAGTAGCTCAGCCCCCTGTGCCCCCTCCCAGCAGTGACTCAGCAGCTCACCCCCCCTGTGCCCCCCTCCCAGTAGTGAATCAGCAGCTCATCCCCCCCCTGTGCCCCTGTCCCAGCAGTGACTAAGCAGCTCACCCCCCCCCTTGTGCCCCTTTCCCAGCAGTGACTAAGCAGCTCACCCCCCCCCCACCCCCTCCCAGCAGTGACTCAGCAGCTCAGCCCCCCTGTGGACTGACTCAGCAGTTCACCCCCCCCCGTGCCCCCCTCCCAGCAGTGACTCGGCAGCCCACCTCCCCCTGTGCCCCCCTCCCAGCAGTGACTCAAGAAAACACAAAAAGACAAAGTAGCAATGTATGGGCTATGTAGTGGAATATATGTACAGAACCAAGATATTGATATTTCTTTCCTTCATCTCGTCCTCAGGTACTGTGGGGGGGGGGGGGGGGAGGGGGGGTGGAAAGAAGGAGGGGGGGAGGGGGGTGGGTGGGGGGGGTGGAAGGAAGGGGGGGGTGGGTGGAAGGGGGGGGTGGGGGGGGGGGGAAGGGGAGGGGTGGGGGAAGGGAGGGGGAAGGGGAAGGGAGGGGTGGGTGGAAGGAAGAGAGGGAGGGGGGGGGGTGGAAGGAAGGGGGGGTGGGGTGGAAGGGTGGGGGGGGGTGGGGGGGGGGGGAGGGGTGGAAGGGGGGGGGGGGGGGGTGGGGTGGGAAAGGAAGGAAGGGGGTGGAAGGGGGAAGGGGTTGGGGTGGGTGGGTGGGGGGGGGGGGGTGGAAGGAAGGAAGGGAGGGGTGGGTGGAAGGAAAGGGGAGGGGGGGTGGAAGGAAGAAGGTGGGAGGGTGGGGAAGGGAAAGGGTGGAAAGGGAAGGAAGGGGGGGTGGGGGGGGTGGAAGGGGGGGGGGGGGGTGGAATGGGTGGGTGGAAGGGAGGGGGGGGGAAGGGGGGGGGGAAGGAGGGGGGGTGGAAGGGGGGGGGGTGAAAGGAAGGGGAGGGCAGCCTCTCTCCCCTCTTCTCCTATTGGTGCAGAGGATGGGAGGGAGGGGCTGGGCAGTGAGAAGAACACAGAGGCGGTTGAGGGGGAGAGGGGGGGCAGAATCAGATCAGGTATGAACTGTGCAGCGGTGGGGGTGGTGACCAGCAGAGATCTCCTGCATGGCTTTCAATAAAGCAGCTGGAAGCCACGGGAGGGAGAGATGAATCAGCTTCCAGCTGCTTCATTGAAAGCCATGCAGGAGATCTCTGCTTGTCACTGCCCCCACCGCTGCACAAATCATACCGTATCTGATTCAAGCGCGGACTAGACCATACCCCCCCCTCTCCCCCTCACGGGGGGGGCTGTGGGGGTGGTGACAAACAGCAATCTCCTGTATGGCTTTCAATGAAGCAGCTGGAAGCCGCCATCTCCTCCTCTCCCTCCCACGGAATTCCAGCTGCTTTATTATAAGCCATACAGGAGATCACTGCTTGTCACTGCCCCCACCACCACCCAGCCCACACACCCCTAGCCCCGGCAATGCTCGCAGCCCCCACCTTATTTCAATTCATGGCGAGTCTGCAGCCTGCAGGGATGGTTGGCAACTCTCCTTTGGGGGGGTTCAGACCTCCCTGACTCCCCCCTTATCTACGCCTCTGGGCAGCAAAGATGTACCTTGAAATGGGTTCAGGTGACCATGTCCATTATAAACATTATGAAGGATCTGCTTATGAATGGCCATATCAGCTGCTGTTATTAGTAGACAAATGGACTCTAATTATACAGAAGGGTTATCTTTACGGAGGTGGTGGTGACCATCACAGATTTACTCTCATATTCTGGTCATAAAAGGTTGTTCGTTTTACAGGTACCACAAACCATGACAAGATCATAGACAACGTGAAGCGGTCTTTGGAAGGTCGGGCCTCGCTCTACTGCCTTGGGGTTTGGCAATGATGTGGATTATAACTTTTTGGAGAAGTTGGCCTTGCAGAATGGTGGCCTCGCCCGTCGTATATATGAGGATTCCGACTCTGCCCTACAGTTGCAGGTGAACGGCTCAGTCTTCATTTGTGTTCAGTTCTTGTGTTGGATTCATTTATGATGAGCTCTAACGCGAGACATACCGGGGTTTATTTACTAAAGCTGGAGAGTGCAAAATTAGGATCACTTCTGCATGGAAACCAATCAGCATCCAGCTTTTATTGCCAAATGAACAAGCTGAGGTTAGAAGCTGATTGGTTACTATGCAGAAGTGAGCCTGATTTTGCACTCTTCAACTTTAGTAAATAAACCCCTAAGTATCAGGGTCCGGACATGAACCTGTGACCTCCTTGGTGTCTGGCTGTATCTCTTCTCGATGTGCCACCCGAGATGATGGCCAGCTCCCTTTCTGATCTCTTTGGACAATTTTGCGTTGGCTCTTGTTTCTTGTGAACCTTCAACTTTTTATTCTCCCTAAGAACTTCCTGATTTAAACCATGTCTCTGCACCTTCAGATTATTCTGTCATGGTCAGGCACAGAAACCAGTAGCTATAGCAGTAGAGAGGCTCCCACTGACCAGCAGGATAAGTCCATAAGTAGGGCACACTAGAGGATGATATGGGCTCACCCGAGCTGAGGGGTCTAAGCACTAACCAATATTCGCCAGAGCTTCTGATCTTGGAAATGGGTTTTTTGCTGTGTGTTAGTACCAGGTCATGGTAATTGCCCCATCAAAAGATGAGCAAGCCGGGGTTCAGTAGCAGATATGGCAGGTTGGGATCAAGCAGAAAAACGTAGTCAAGGAACAAGCCAAAGGTCGGTAACAAGTGGTTGCAGGTTGGGATCAAAGCAGAATTATAGTCAAGGAACAAGTCAAAGGTCGGTAACAAGTGGTTGCAGGTTGGGATCAAGCAGAAGCGTAGTCAAGGAACAAACCAAAGGCTGGTAATGAGTGGTAGTGGAGATAAGGAAAGCTGCAGGTACTCAAAGGTGCAAGATATCGGCTGGAAAGAGCACAATAACCAGACAAACAGGAAGTGCAGAGACATGGCTTAAATAGCAGGTTCATGGGAGGAGCAAAGAGTTCAAGGTTCCCCATAAAACAAGAGACACAGCAAGATTGTCTAAAGCAGCCTTTCTCAGCCAGGGTGCCTTGAGGTTTCTTCAGGTAAATGTCTAAAAATTGCCTAAAACTTGTATACAAGCCAGCGGGTAGAACAAGCCGGCCTTTTAGTTGCACAAAGCCCCGGGTTTTAAATGTGCACCATTACGACCTTCTAGCCGCCGCGGTCCTGACCACCATGACACCATCAGTTGATAAGGAGGATGTCAGCTACCTGCACAGCATCCTACTTTGACCCTCCCTGCCCCTCTCCATCAGTGCTGGGGTCACATTAGCTCAGTGATGGAGAAGAGAAACATTGGAATACTAGTCAGCAGGGCTGCTGATTGGTACTGATCACTCATTGTGTTCATTCAGGAAAGGAAGGGGCTGGTAAATGTAATGCATTCACTGGACCCTTCCCCTACTCTCCATCCTGAAGGATCGTATTGTGTGCTTGCAGCTGCTGCTGAAAGTAGAGGAAGGAATCCGGCAGCACTGTGGGAGCACACAGGGGGCCTGGGTAGCAGGGGGAAATGTTTGGTGCACAGGGAGGGTGATGGGTGCACTGGGGGGGGGGGGCAATTACTGGAACCGATCCCCTGTATGGCTCTCTCTGCAGCAACTGAAAGCCAGCAGGAGAGAAAGGAGAAGAAGCCAGCTTTTAGCTGCTGCAGCAAGAGTCATACAGGGGATCGGTTCAAATCATCCTCCCTGCCCACATCCAATTCACCCAGCTGCCTTGGCCCCCCTGCTGGCCTGGGGCCCGTACCGAGGACTGATGGTACCCCCTTATCCACGGCCCTGCTAGTCAGTACCAGTGTGCAAATGAATATTTGCTTTGGAAGAATAAACCACCTCTAATGTTGGGTGTCCTACTTGTGTGGGTGTTGCTGTGTATATAGAACTATTAGAATAGTTTTTCACATTTTAGAACGGGGTTCCTCAAGACTGTCCATAATTTTGAAGGGTGCCTCGGGACTGTCCATAATTTTAAAGGGTTCCTCAAGACTGTCCATAATTTTGAAGGGTGCCTCGGGACTGTCCATAATTTTAAAGGGTTCCTCAAGACTGTCCATAATTTTAAAGGGTTCCTCGGGACTGTCCATAACTTTGAAGGGTGCCTCGGGACTGTCCATAATTTTAAAGGGTTCCTCAAGACTGTCCATAATTTTGAAGGGTGCCTCGGGACTG